ATTCTAGGCAGGGGCTCTACCACTGAGCCACACCCCCAGCTCTTCACTGGTGGATTCAAGGCAGGCTCTCTGGCCCTACGCCATGTCCTAGCCCTCTCTTTTTAAACTTTGACACAGGGTCTTGCTAAGTTAGCAGGGCAGGTCTTGAACCTGTGATCCTCCTATTCCATCCTTCTGAGTGGTTGGGAGCACTGACCCAGGCCATCATGCCTGGCCTAATCTTACTCTCATACTGTTTCTCTGCTGTCATTTCTCTCCTGCTTCCACATGTCAGCCTCACCTTACAGCAAACCATCTCCCAGCACTTATCTTGTGGCCTGGTGGGGTCCCTTCTGTAACCCTTCCCTAGCTCATCTGAAGTCACTGTTGTAGGCTACTCCTCCCGGCAGCCCTATCTGCCCTCCCTGGTCTGGTTCAAACACTCCGTCTCAGCGCCACGCTGTCTGTGACCTTCCTAGTCTATCCCTGGCCACTCTGGGTCATCATCGGCGAGGGCTCTGTCTCCCTGGCTCCAGATCCAAGAAAACTAGGTTAGACTTCTCTTACTGCTGTGTCCACATGTCTGTCCAGCCAGGGACACAGAGGAGAAGAATGTGTGTTAAGTGACTGAATGAAAGCATGTCAGTCAGGAGACCAAGGGAATGCACGCAGAAGTGATGATAGTTCTGTGTTCTGGGTCCCTAGGTATGGAGGTGGGGTGGGGTTAAGAGGAGCCAGCCTTGCTGTGAGTCCTGGATGGTTCAGGTCAAGAGTTGGTTGTTTGTCTTTGAGACGGGGACAGACGTGACTCACATCGGTTTGCTCACGGACAAAGTACGTGGTATAGGAGCGTCACGGACTGTCCTATCTCTTGGGGTGTCTCAGCAGCCTGGCCCCGGGGTGAAGCGCCGAGTCGGGAGGAGGGAATGTCGCCGTCTCATAGCACAGAATGTGATGCAGAGGCAAGGAGCCAAGTGTCCTCAGACAGATGTCCCCGGCAGAGAGGTCTCACCCACATGGTGTGGGCTAGAAGGGGAAGGAGACACTGGGCCAGGATGGTGGAGGAAAGGAGGCGGGGCGGCCAGGCCACTAGATTTTTCTCTAAACTCTTGGTCAAAGCAGCTTAGTAAGATGAAAGGCAGGGAGGGAAGGGAGGAGAGCAGGGAAAGGGGGAAGAGGGAGGAGACAGCGAGGGGAGGGGGGAGGGAAAATGGAAGAGAGGGAGACGGGGACCCGGGAGAGGGAGGATGGGAGGAAATGGAAGGAGAAGGGAGGAACGATGGGGGAAGAGGAGAGGATAGAGAGAAAGGATGAAACTGAGAAAGAGAGAGAGGGAGAAAGGGAGGAGAGGAGAGGAGGAGAACTAGGGAGAGGGAGGATTGGAGAGAGAGGGAGGGAGGGAGGGAGGGGGACAGAAAGAGAGAGGAGAGAGAGAGAGAGAGAGA